TAACAAAACTGCATACTCAGTTTAAAATGTGCATTTTTGGCCGATTTTTGCAAATTTTCATGATGTAACCCCTTTCCTTTTCTCCGAAAAATGGGAAATTTCTGAAAAAAATTTTTTTCGGAAAGATAAAGCTAGAACGAAAGCCCTGTAGATGCTGATCAAGAATATATGATTTATGGGTCGGACATGGCTCCTTCACTTATTTTTAAGCTTCTGACTGAAGGTCCATTACCATTTTATACCGATATTAACAATATTTTTATATGAAATTTTTCGACAAATCAAAATTTAAAAATCTCATAACTCAGCCAAAAACGCATTAATTTCAATTCGGAAAGCGACAGTATGTTAATTTTAGCAGGTTAACAAAACTGCATACTCAGTTTAAAAAGTGCTTTTTTGGCCGATTTTGCAAATTTTCATGATGTAACCCCTTTCCTTTTCTCCGAAAAATGGGAAATTTCTGAAAAAATTTTTTTCGGAAAGATAAAGCTAGAACGAAAGCCCTGTAGATGCTGATCAAGAAGGTCCATTACCATTTTTATACCGATATTAACAATATTTTATATGAATTTTTCGACAAATCAAAATATTGCTGAAAAGCTTCCCCTGTTGATGCTGATCAAGGATATATTTTATTTTTAAGGTCGGAAATTACTGCTTCACTTTCTGGCTTAAATAATTACACCATGCAGGGGTATAACAATATATTATACAATTTTTAAATAACAAATTAATTTGTTTCTCCCCTATGTTTTTAAGCGTAATATACCGATTTCGAAACTTTTTAACCTTTTTTAAAATAAGGAAAACAATTAATCTTTGCTCGATATCAACAAATGGGTGGAGAGTAATTTATTTATTCTATTTCATACACAAAGATACAGGTCCAAAGATCAGACCCCAATCTGTCTTTGTTGTAAGTTAGGTTGTGTTCTTTGTATTATTTAATTCTATAAATTAGCAACAAACTGAAAACCAGAATATAATATAATATATATACAAAACTGCATACTCAGTTTAAAATGTGCATTTTTGGCCGATTTTGCAAATTTTCATGATGTAACCCTTTCCTTTTTTCCGAAAAATGGGAAATTTCTGAAAAATATTTTTTTCGGCCGGATAAAGCTAGAACGAAAGCCCTGTAGATGCTGATCAAGAATATATATGATTTATGGGGTCGGAAATGGCTCCTTCACTTATTTTTAAGCTTCTGACTGAAGGTCCATTACCATTTTTATACCGATATTAACAATATTTTATATGAAATTTTTCGACAAATCAAAATTTAAAAATCTCATAACTCAGCCAAAAACGCATTAATTTCAATTCGGAAAGCGACAGTATGTTAATTTTTAGCAGGTTAACAAAACTGCATACTCAGTTTAAAAAGTGCTTTTTTGGCCGATTTTTGCAAATTTTCATGATGTAACCCCTTTCCTTTTCTCCGAAAAATGGGAAATTTCTGAAAAAATTTTTTTTCGGAAAGATAAAGCTAGAACGAAAGCCCTGTAGATGCTGATCAAGAAGGTCCATTACCATTTTATACCGATATTAACAATATTTTTATATGAAATTTTTCGACAAATCAAAATATTGCTGAAAAGCTTCCCCTGTTGATGCTGATCAAGGATATATTTTATTTTTAAGGTCGGAAATTACTGCTTCACTTTCTGGCTTAAATAATTACACCATGCAGGGGTATAAAAATATATTATACAATTTTTAAATAACAAATTAATTTGTTTCTCCCCTATGTTTTTAAGCGTAATATACCGATTTCGAAACTTTTTAACCTTTTTTAAAATAAGGAAAACAATTAATCTTTGCTCGATATCAACAAATGGGTGGAGAGTAATTTATTTATTCTATTTCATACACAAAGATACAGGTCCAAAGATCAGACCCCAATCTGTCTTTGTTGTAAGTTAGGTTGTGTTCTTTGTATTATTTAATTCTATAAATTAGCAACAAACTGAAAACCAGAATATAATATAATTTGTTGCAATTTGTAATTTGTTGCTCTTTGCTTATCGTTTTTCGTTTCACTTTGCACATTGTCCAAAAAGTAGAAAAATGTTATGTCTAAAAAAATACGGGTTAACATTTTGTTGTTTTGTCCTATCTTTGTTTTATTCCCTACATAATATCATATATATGCTAATGTATATATATATAAATATAATTTATGTATTCTTTTTGATTTGCTTTAGTGTGTGTAGTATTTTGTAATATTTGTAGAGGCTTTTGTTTTCTCAGAAACTTAAAAACAGGCGCTAGTTGAAACCTTTGGAGGGAGACTGAGACTGAGACACGGATCATTCCTAGCCATGGTGATATACGATATAGTTTATCGGGAAATGTTTTCGATACCATTTTATATATAGACTGTACATTGTGTGTGGTGTTCTCAAAACAATTTCTAGAAGCTTCAAGCCAACAGACATCATTAACAAACAAATCTAGTAGGGTTTGGGATTGGCAACAAAGCTCTACTACTTCAGGAAAGAGAGGCGGCGGCGGCGGCAGGCAGGCACTTATACTTACAATAGTTCAACAGAATCCAATCTCTCTATATATAATATATATATATAACCTATAACTACTGTGTTTTATATATAACGTATATATGTACAACTACCAGCTATATACATTTGATCCCTAAATATATAAACTAAGAGCTCGTTAAAAGAGGGTCCCGTTCTATATATTCGATCTAGCTTTCTCTCTCGCTTCCACGATTTGCCCACAATGTACAAGCAATATGCTAATGTGCTATAAACCCAAAACAAATTAAATAAAAACACAAAAGTCAAGATTAAAGGTTAAGAAATATGTCACATTTTGATTGGTCTGTGTATTTGGTACGCAAAAAAGTTTGTATAATAATAATAATAATAATATATAGTATCAATAATAATAATAATCATAATAATAATAATGATGCCATATAATAGTTAAAAAAATAGCAGAAAAAACACGTTAACAAAACTGGTTAATTAGCTTATCCGTAGGATCTCTCTAGAGGGGTTTATATATATATATATAACCATATATAACCATATGCGATATATGATATATCTGCTATTGCTGTAAGGTGTTTTGGGTAAATATTACTTGCATAGAATTTCTTTAAACTTAAGCGACAACAGCGCACGGCCCCGGCGATTGTCTTTCACTGTGTAGGGTGTGTAGGCTGTGTGTAGGGTGTGCGTGTGTCGTGCGAGGAGGGGCTTCAGGATTAGGGATACCTGACTGGTAGGGGAAAGGCGGTCACCTTAGGCTCTAAGTATACAATTATTTCTTGTTGTTTTCTAGCTCTACTTTAGTCACAATAAAAAAAAAGGGAGAAAGAAAACAAATACCATCACTTTCTTTGCTTTCTTTTTGCTGGTTTATGGGTTTCTATGGTTGTCCCTCGGTTTGCCCTGGTTTTCCCTCGATTATCCTTGGGTTTACCTAAGGTTTCCCTCGGTTCCCTGGCTTTCCTTGGTTTTTGTAACAACTAGCAAATTGGTATTTCTTTGACATTAACATTTGTTTAAAGTTTAGTGTTTCGGTTTTAATAATTTCAATATATAAGATGTACTTACATATATTTATTTCTTTAATGCGATTCTTGCTTTTGTTTTTCTTTTGCTTTTTTGCTATAAAAGGTACATGAAGTGTATACACTTAAGGGTCAAGTTCTTTCGTCCTTTTGTAATAAGTATTTCTCTTGATTTCCACAAAGCTGCTGAGGATCCCGTGTTGATGTGGATCTTGAGGGTCTTTCGGGATTCATTCTTCTTATTTTAATTATTATTGCATTAAACTAAAGTTGGCTTTTATCGTTTAACAAATGTCTAGAGCATATTTCAACTAAGTAACCATAAAATTGGAGCTTAACATTAGTCTGTCTGTGTGTGTGTGTGTATGTGTGGGGCTTATTAACTAAATATCTTTGATTTAACATTTTGCTTGAGTGGGGTTTACTGGGATATATATAGATATAGAATATATTTATATATATATAACAAAGAAGTTCAAACAATTCAACAAATGTGTCGTCTCTTCTCTCGTTTGCTTTTCTTTCATTGTTTTTTTAGCTAAAAAGGACTCAATTTTTAAGGCGCTAAATGTGTGTGCTTGGCCTAAGTTTAATATCTAAGTTTCTCTTTCTATATATAGATATATAACTCTCGTTCTATATAATTCTTTAGATCCTGAACAGAAATAAAATAAATGTTTCTATATATTTAGTTCTGGTTGCTCTTTGTTTTTTGCTTTTCTTGCCTTTTTCTTAGACTTTTCTTGCTCTTTTTTCTATTTTGTTTACCACATTTTCCTTATTTAATATTATTTATTTATTATATATATATTTTCATGGATTTTTCCCTTACTTGGCTCAATTTGTATGTCTGCTTTGATATATGTTTGTATATATATATTATATTTATAGTATTAACCTTTTGTGTCCCGAAATAACATATAAAAATGACATTTGATGCATTTTTAAAATCTGTTGTGAAGCCTTTTCATTATTTAGTCGGGGGTTTTCTTAGCATTTTTCTTTGCCTTTTGTAGGTTTGTTTTTCTTTGTTTCACTTTAGTATATATATATATATATATATGCATATAAATATATAGTTTCGATTTGCCCATTGTTAAAATTACAAAACTTAAAAAGAGAAAAAAATTACTTACAACAATATTGCAGCTAGGAAATGGCTAGGAAATTAGAGTAGATATTAAATCAAATCATATATATATATGAATTTATAACTAAAATTAAAATATGTAAGATTAAAAGAAATAATAATTAAAAAAAACCGCAAATTTGTACAACAAACACAGAGGCAAAAGAGCGGGGAAAAACACATAAAAAAAAAACACCTAAAGAACACTTAAAAAAAGCAAACAAATATAAATCAGACAAACCCTATTTTGTACAAATTTTAAGGGGAAATTTAAAAAGTTAAGCAAGAGCCATCAATATACATATATATAAATGTGTATATATATATATATATATAATTGTTATAATTTGTAGTCTAAATGCTCTGTGATTTGAACGATTCTCGCTTTAGCATCAAGTCCACCTGCTGCTACCTCGCACCTGTTGTCGCCATATTCACCGCATCCAGGCGGACTTTCGCTTAATTTTGGTGCGCAGCCCTCGCAGAGGCTTCACCTTGTTTTTGCTGGCCGCCGCTGCTGCTGCTGCTGCTGCCACAGCCATGGCAGCACTCAGATGTTGCGGCAGCATCCCAGCGTTGTTGCTATTATTGGTATTACTGTTGCCACCCACAGTGGCACCTCCTCCAGCGGGCAGACAGTGATTGAGGTTACCCAAATACATGCCAGCGGGATAGCTATACAATTCTGGGTGGAGTTGCTGCTGTTGGTGTTGCTGTTGCTGCTGCTGATGTTGCTGTTGCTGCTGGTGTTGCTGCTGTTGCTGTTGTTGTGCCAATGCCACATTGGCAGCCGCACTGCTAAGCAGAGCCATTTTGCTGCCACTGCCATTTGTGTAGATTGCTTGAAGACTGCCAAACTGCTGTTGCTGCTGATGCTGCTGCTGCTGGTGTTGCTGGTGATGTTGCTGCTGCTCCCGATGATGCTGCTGCTGCTGCTGCTGTTGCTCCTCCTCCAAACTCTGGCTGGCGGGTCGCTTGCGCGGAGATCCCTGACTGCTGCCACTGCTGCCATTGCTATGATAATGTGAACCATAATCCACATTTGAGGATCGCGATAGGGACAGCAAGGCATCCACGCCATCGCGATGTCGCTGCTGATCCAGTTCCTCGGGCGTGATGTTGTGACTGTTGGTAGCAACAATTATAGTTAAGGTTTTGGGTTATAGGCAAAAGTGTCTTCCACTCACTTCTCCTCACTGCTATCGTAGGCCGCATCCGAGCTGGCACAGTTGCTATCGGATCCAGCCGCCTGGGCAACCACACTGCTGGTCGATAGCCCATTGCCATTGGTCACCGGCGTGGAAGAGCCACTGTCGGCATTGCTATTGCCACCCGCCGAGTAGGTGTGATCCTCGCTAGGGGAACTTGTGATTACCGGGGCGCCGCTTCTGCAAGATCAGTAAGAGAGAGATTAGTTTAACATTAAATAAATGTAAAGGGAATTTTTGATATTCATATCGTTAAAAGAACACTCACCCATTTTGAAAGGAATCGCTGCTAAAGGCCTTTGGTTCGTGCTTGAGGCAGAGCAACGCTGCCGCAGCATGCACATCATCCATGCTATCAGCTCCACAGTCTCGTGCCATTTGCTCAAAATTGATGCCATCCGAGGGCGTGGGAGCAGATCCTCCTCCACCGCCATTGAGAGCAGGAGCTCCCGTTCCGGCTGTGCCACTGCCTGCATTCAGTCCCACATAGTTGTACTTGCTGTTGTTGTTGTTGATATTATTATTGTTATTGGTGTTGTTATTATTGTTGTGATAATCATCCGATAGGTCATCCTCGCGTAGGGACTGCGGCTGTCCGGTTAAATCCTCCCGGATATTGCCAAAAAGATTGGAGAGATTGGGGAAAAGCTTGGGATCGAAACGAGCATGACTGCCACTCCCAGCTCCGCCTCCGCCGGGACTGTGCGGCCTTGCCGCATTCGTTGTCACCGGACTAGCCCCATTGGCCAGGGCCAGGCCATTGCTTTTCGAGGGCGTTGTTAGCGACACAGCAGCTGGCACTGCCGCTGCTCCTGCTCCAGGTCCAGCTGCAGCTCCTGGTCCTCCTGCAGCTGGCAATCCCGAGGATACACTCCCGTCTAGACTATCGTAAATCGATTCTTTAGGACTCTTTAGCGAGGGACTAATCTTGTCCACCGCCGAATTGGGAAAGAAGGGGGATCGGTTAAGCGCCTGGATGAGATTCTGGCGCTGCTGCGGCTCAACGCGCCACAGCGAACCCTTGCCCATATTCGGTGCCTTCTCCACCTTCACGAAGCTCTTGTTTAGCGATAAATTGTGGCGAACACTGTTCTTCCAGCCGGTGGGTGCTGTCTTAAAGTACGGAAAGTGTTGAACAATCCAAGCGTAGATCTCCTTAACGGGCAGAGCCTTCTCATTGGAGCTCTCAATGGCCATGAAGATCAGGGAACTGTAATTAAAAATTGATATTACAATTTAAGCAAATGATTTTCACTGCATTGTGGGACTCACCTAAAGCTATATGGCGGCTTATTGTTGGTATGCACTAACGGATCATATGGCACGTTATTGGGATGCTTTTGCTTTTGTGGCGTGGTCGCTCCTCCAGCACCACCACCACCAGCTCCATTATTCACACTGCTGTAGCCACCTTTGGAGACGGTATATTGGGGCGTGCTTGTGTGCACCACCAGATCGAAATCCTTCAATGAATCCTCATTGTCGTAGCTGGTATAGCTATTGGGGCTGCGCAGGTTGACACCAGTTCCTCCTGCTCCAGCCGTAGATCCTCCTACACCTCCTCCGCCACCATGTGATCCATTCGCATGACTCGTGGGCGGCGGTGGTGAGTTGGCCAAATGCAGGCTGCGCGGCTGAAGATTTCCTGCTCCTCCACTGCTGCTGCTGTAGTAGGTTCCAGGCAGGAGAGCAGCAGCAGCAGATGGCGGTGTCTCCGGTGAGTTCACATGGCCGGGTGTTGATCTGAAAGAGAGAGAGACGGGGTATACCCAACGATTAATATAGAACTATAAACCAGAGATACAAAGAGTATTCTAAATTCTATGTAGACACTCACATGACATGAGGTGTGGTGCTCACAAAGCTATAACCCGGCGCCAGAGATCCTGCACTGATCAGCGTGGTGGTGGTCACAACGGTCGTCGGCGGTGTTGGCTCCTGATTATGGCTCGAACTGCTGGTGATGGCATTAGCATAATTAACAGCCTCGTAAACTGTGCTGCTAAAGCTACTACTGCTACTGCTGGCCTTGGCCACTGGACTATTGCCCCATTGACCGCCGCTGTCGAGGATCCTGAACCGCCGCCGCCCGATATGGAACTAGAACTGATCGAGGAATTGTTGGAGGAGGCGGGAGAACTAACAACCGTCACGGTGGAGGCCACATGACTGCTATGATCCATCTGGACGTGCATTTTCTCGCGCAGATACTTTTTGTGCGGGTGATGGGAGGTGGTGGTGGTGTTGCTGCTACTGCTGCTGCTATTGTTGCTGGTTGTGGGTGAGCATAGTGTTGCCCCCTTGTAGATGCCATTTCCCGTTGCCGTTGCCGTTGCGCCTCCATTGCTGCTGGTCACATAGATCTGCGACTGAGGCTGCGTCTGGGACTGCTTCATGGGCGAGAGTATGGCTTGGCTAACCGCTGGTTGTTGCTGTGGCTGGGTTGTCACCACCACGGGCATATAGCCAAGCGTGGTGGCACGTGTGGGCGTTGGCAAATATGCCTGCTGTTGGCCAGCCTTGCTGGCTTTGTACTCCACCACGGTGGTGGTGCCACTGGGACCCTTGTGCACCGTTGTGGTGCTATATAGCGAAGCATCCGGATCGACACCACTGGTCTCGTTGTGGCTACTAGGTACCTCTTCGATTATATCGCTCACTAGGCACATATTGCCATTGACTGAAGCTCCTGTTCCTGCTCCGGATCCGGATCCGGATCCAGCTCCTCCTCCCGCCGCCGCCGCCGCTTTAATGGCCATTGCACGTTTCACTTGCGTTCCCGTTGCAACTGCAGCTGCACCACTGGTTGTGACAATGCCCTTAATCAGATTGCTATCGTTTAGCCAGGACAGGGAACGCAGCTCTCCATCATCTCCATCGGTGGTGCGGACACCAGCGGCTGCTGCTGCTGCTGCCAGGGCATCGGCTGAACCCATTTCCAGGGGCTCGGCGGCAAGGAGCACTATGTTGCCACCACCACCACCGCTCGTTGAGTGGCTGCCACTGCCGGAGGATGACACGGATGCAGCCGCCGTTGTGACTGCCGTTGTGGAGCCATCGTAGGCCGTGAATCCACCATTGTGATTGTGCTGCAGAAATACATATTTGGAGGCACTGGCCGGCATGTTGCTATTGCTTGTGGGTACTAGTCCTCCTCCTGCTCCTCCTGATCCTCCTGCTGCTGCTCCTGCTACTGTGCTGGTTGTGTTGATGGTGCTGCTGGTGGTGGTGCTGCTACCGCAGCTAATGGTGGCGAGTGGCGCAATGTTGCGAAGATATCCATGTGGGGCATTGGCCACTGAAGAGACCGCTGCTGCTGCTGCCGCCGCTGCTGCAGCCGCTGCTGCCACAACAGCCGCCGTTCCAGATGCCGTGACTGCCGTGGATGCCACTGCCGATGGTCCCGATTGCAAATGGCCACGCAGCTGACTTAAATCGCGGGTGGTAAGCAACTGTGTGGGATTATCTGTGGACATGCTGCAGGGAGAGAGAAAGAAAATGTATTACTATTAAAAAAAAATTATTAATTAACAAGTGGAATCAATATATTACTTGAAAATAACATTTATATATTTATTTATACAACTAAAACCTATTAGTCCCAAAGCAAGCAGAACAAATTGCCACTGCTGCTGAATATTATATCACAAAGCTGGTGTAATCATATTTTAATTAAGTTATGATATAAGAAGACTTGACTCTGATCTCAAATGGGTCTCACAAAATGATTCAATATACATCAAAATAAATAAACATTAGTCAACAGACACTTGTCGCGCTTTTCTTCAATTATTTTGTTCTCATTTTTTATCAAAGCTAAACACATTTGTAATTAAAAAAACATAAGCTACTGTGTAAAAAATAACTATTATAATAAAACAAAAAACATAACAAGAAAGGCAGCTAACAGAGGGAAGCCCAAGTGCCATGGCAAAAAAACCTTAAATATATATATCGATATTTTTAATTTAACAAATTTTTTGGGTAAATCAAAGATTTTGCAAATATCATAACTAAGTCAAAAATGCATTAATTTCAATTCGGAAAGCTGCTCTATGCTAGTTTTTAATAGGTTTATAAATCTGCATACCAAACTTTAAGTTTTAGAAAATTTCATTTTTCATCAATTTTTGACAATTTTAATGATGTAACCCCTTTCCTTTTTTCAAAAAATGGGAAATTTCTGAAAAAAATTTTTTTCGGCCGGATAAAGCTAGAAAGAAAGCCCTGTAGATGCTGATCAAGAATATATATGATTTATGGGGTCGGAAATGGCTCCTTCACTTATTTTTAAGCTTCTGACTGAAGGTCCATTACCATTTTTATACCGATATTAACAATATTTTTATATGAAATTTTTCGACAAATCAAAATTTAAAAATCTCATAACTCAGCCAAAAACGCATTAATTTCAATTCGGAAAGCGGCAGTATGTTAATTGTAGCAGGTTAACAAAAATGCATACTCAGTTTAAAATGTGCATTTTTGGCCGATTTTTGCAAATTTTCATGATGTAACCCCTTTCCTTTTTTCCGAAAAATGGGAAATTTCTAAAAAATTATTTTTTTACCGGGCATGGCTAGATTGATTTAGTTTTGATGTTGTTCAAGGATATATATGATTTATAGGGTGGGAAATGACTCTTTCACATCGTTATAAGCTTCTGACTGAACTAATAATACCCTGCAAAAGTCTAAAATTCCGACCTGAATACCTGGATTTTTTCATAAAAGCTTCCTTTCGTTCTTGTTTGTAATAAACTGTACATAAATTTAAACAAAAAACTGGGTTTCTGTGGTGACTCAAACAGATTACAAGTAAATGCCACAGAGCTAACACATATCTTTAGGTTAATAGATTATTTCTAAATTTGTACACGTTGACAACTGAATTAATTAGACTTAATAATATTTATTATTATTATTGCCTCATTATTAATGCTGAAATTCCTTGGAAATAACTTTGGTGAGTTGGCAAGTATAGCATTTTATTATTAATAGCCAAATCCGATGATGACAATGGTGTTGGGGAGATGATCTAATGATTGACTGATGAAATGATCAGTTTTTTCTGCTTTTTATTTATTGTTGCACATTGTGCGGTCATCATTTTGTTGTCATTTCGTGAGTTTTGTGACTAAATAGAAGCGTGTAATCATTAATAGTTTATTGTTCATTTCTTTATGGTTTTGCTAAATGTCCTTCGGCATATTTATTGCCTACTTTCGGGGGTAATAACCGGTTCTATTCTGCTCTCTCTCTCACTCCTTATCTCTTTCCCCTTCTAAATTGTATCTCTTTTAGCTTTTACCTGGTTTTTTTTCTCATTTTACGCAATCATAGACATGGTTTTTGTTGCTAATAGCTTTTTATATGTTTGTTGTTGCCTCGAATTTCCGCGTGTTTGTTTTTTTATGACGCCCACTCTCTCTCTCTTTCTTTCTTGCCGTGTGTTTCCATCTCTTTCTGGTCGCTCTATCCCTCTCCCTTGCTCTACGCGTGATTAGTGGATTATCTTATCAGCACTACTATTGCGGTGTACTTCGCTCATAGTTTTCCCCAATTGGGTGTGTTCTCTTTCACCAAATAACAATAGACTTGATTTTTTAATGATTCTAAAATGAGGGTTCAAAGATCAATTATCGACTGGCAGGTAATCAATAATCAATAATCGATTACTATTCGATTTTTTGAAATTTCTAGATTGACTTGAGTTTAAGTTTGCAAACTAATTAAAGAGATCCTTGGGAGGCATTTATTTTTAGGTAGCAGTAAGTAAGTTATCGATTCACAAATTTTCATCAAGATCATCGCTTACTTCCATCATCTTTTAGTCATCAGAAAAGCCATAACATTTCCTTGGGCAATTAATTAACTGAAATATTCATTTTGCCCCGAGGGACAACTTATTTGTCGTTGGGGCACGCGAATCGAATGAGCGACAGGGTCGGGTATCTGGGGGGGGGGGGGGGGGGGGGAAGTGGGGCGGTCGGAAAAACAAATCCAACAAAGTGTATTATTATTTATTGATTTTCATTTGAGGCAGCCAGGAAAAACGAAAAAGAACAACTCGAAACTAACAACAAAAAGTCAACAATAGAGAAATGCGCGCCGCCAAGAAGCAAAAATTTACTTTTACTAACCTAAAATGTAGTGGAGCTTGCCACACGGCGAATATTTCAGTTTATTGATTTTAATTTACTTATATTTTTTTAAATTTTATTTTAAAGTAAATCAGAAATAATTTCTTTAAGTTATCACACCTATAAAAGTATTCGAAATGGTCACATTTATTGTAGTGTCATTTGATTGATCACTCATTTTATTTATTTTATGTAAATCTTGTTTTAAAACAAATAATGTATTACTTAATAATTAAAATTGGTATTATTATATCTTAAAACTAAGTGAATGAGGGATTTCCGACCCTATAAATCATATATATTCTTAATCAGCATCAACAGGGGAATCTTTTAAGCCATCTCCGAAAGAAAACAAATTTTTTTAAGAAATTTCCCATTTTTTTTTTTAAATAGGAAAGGGGTTACATCATGAAAATTTGCAAAAATCGGCCAAAAATGCACATTTTAAATGGAGTATGCAGTTTTGTTAACCTGCTAAAAATTAACATACTGCCGCTTTCTTGATTGAAATTAATGCGTTTTTAGCTGAGTTATGAGATTTTTAAATTTTGATTTGTAGTAAAATTTGTATATAAAAATATAATTAATATCGATTAAAAAATGGTATTATAATTTAAGCGAGAACAATCTTTGGTTTTGCGAATTAAGCTTCCTTTCTTGTTATTATTACATGTATTTAATTTTGTATATTATTAAAATATTAAAAGTACTATTGATCACACCTTCTCATTTAATTTACTAACAAAAAAAATTAAATATCTGAAATATAACATTTATAATCATAATAAAATAAATTGAAGCTTCACTGTATTTCCTTTTCTACCTGATTATTGCCCATTGTTTTGCATGTGCAAAATTGATAGCAACGCGGTTGTGGGGGAGGGGGATGGAGGGGAAAGGAAAAATTAGAAAGAGAGCGAGAGGGAGAGAGAAAAGGAAAAGTGCGCGCCACAACAAAACCGTAAATGAAATGAAAACACACAACAAACGCGATGAGAACCGAGCAACAAGAGCAACAACAACAAAAGGCAATATCAATGAAACAACAAAAGCAACAAAAACAAGAACATCGAGAAAATAATAACAAAATACAAAACGAAAAGTTAAATTGTGAAAAGCTCCCGCTGCTGACCTCCAAAACGAACGTCAGCGTCGCTGCCGGCTGCGCAGTCATTACACTGGCATGCCACACAAATAGTACAGACTGGAATTTATTTATTTTTTATTAAAAGCTTGCGACGCAATTTTTGTTTTTTTTTTTTTGCGCCTACCTTTGGTTGTCTTGGCAACTTTTTTTTTGTTTATTATTCGCTCTCTCTTCTTTTTTTATGTGTCGCTATTTTGGACAACAACAAAATAATAACAACGAGACGCTTACGAAAATAGTTTTTTTTGCAGCGTCGCAAGAGAGCCACTTTGGCAAAAAAAAAAAAAAAAAAAAAAAAGTCAGAGAGAGAGAGAGAGCAAAAGAGAGAGCGCGAGCAAAGCAAAACAACGTGGTTGCGATAAGAAAATGGGAAGGGGAAGGTGTGCGAGTTGAAAAGCAGCCTTTTGGCGTAATTAATTAGCAAATATGGCAGTAACAACAAATTTTTGGACAATGCAACATTGGAAAGTCCCTCTCTTCCGTTTGCTCTCTCTTTCTCTTTGTATCGAGACATGCCGATACATGCCACACAAGCTCTCTCACGAGCCTGAATTGTTTATCTGTGCTTTCGTTTGGCTTTGCCCGTGCTTTGTTTGTTTTCCAAAGAGAGCGAAAGAGAGACGCCGTTCGCTTCTTTGCTTGAAACAGTGAAGCTAACGTAACATGAAACCTCTTGGCAAAGTAAATCTATAATCATATAACATTATATTATTTAAAAATTATATAAAAAAAAAAATAAACCAAGTTGAATTTAATATTTTGATTTCAAGACATTATTTACATCCAACTTGGCATCGATTTCCCCTTTACAAGGTCACACTGTACTTTGCTTTCAGATTAGCGTCGTTCTAGAAACGTCGCGCTTTTGACTGTGACCTGTGGACCTTTCCACCGCGTCAAGTGAAAATGCCGCCCGTCTTAAATGTCAACTGAGCCACCCACAAAATTGAAATGCAAGTGCGAAAGAGAGGATATGCATGTGCCATGCCAGAGCGAGATAGACTGCAAGTATTGCATTTCGGCCTTTTCTTCTTCTTTCTCCAAGCCAATTAACCGGCAAAAACAACAAGAACAACAACAAAAGCAGCGATAACTGTACCTGAGCAGAAACTGCTTGTTAAAAAAAACAGAAAAACAAAAAAACGAGAAAGAAAAGAATCAAAATGTAGAAAAAGCAGCCGCCACGCT